AGCAACGACCCAAATGTTCATCAAGAGATGAATGAATAAACAAGTGTGGAATATACAACAAAAAAAAAAAAAAAAAAAAAAAAAAAAAAAGAATGAAGTAGACATGTATCCACAGTCATAGGACACTCTTCAAGGCATAATGTTATAAGATGAACGCTAATTACAGATTAGGTTTGATCTGTTTTTTAAGAGCACAAAACTATACGTCATTAAGTGTGTATATATGTAAATGCACAGAAAAAGGTAGCTACAAACATTTGGTTGGTAAAACGGGACATGTACTTTTTATTTTAGCTGCTTCTGTCTTGCTTGCTTTTTAAAAAAATGACATGTTCATGTCTCACTTACTTTAAAAAATTAACACTTAAAACTCCTACTAGGGCTGCTTTCATGAATCGAAAAGATTCATTTCTTTAAAGTATCCTGGAACCTGCTTTAAAAAAAAAGAGAAAACCCCTCTTATTTTCTCCATAATTATCAACAGGTTAGGTATCCTTCTTGAAATCTTATTTAACAAAGTATTAATTTGTTTGGCAAACCCCTCTGTTCACAGGGTGTAAATAATCAAACTCTGCTCAGTCCAGATGATCCCGAATCCTAACTGAATGGGTCTAAAACAATGATGCTTCCCTGTAATATCTGGTGTGAGGACTGCACATCAGGCAATCAGTTGAGTAACTGGAACGTTCCTTAAGCAGGATTCTCTAACAAGCTAGTGTGTTGCATCTCTAATTTTAGACCAGGATTTTAACCCAGAAACAAAATTTTAACCTAGAAACAAAAAGGGAAAATGGAGATCACTGCAGTAGAACCCATTCAACTGGAGTTCAGTCAGGTCATCTGGGAGAACATCCTGAGAGACTGTCCTTCAGGATCAGGAGTGACCAGGATCTTTGGGATCTGCTAACTTCCATGGCATCGTCTGGACACTGTGCCTGCTTGTCAGGGCACCCAGGATGCCCAACCCCTTTTTCCCTGGGAGGGATGTCTGTGTGCTCTTCAAAACCCAGCTCACACCTGCAGACAATTCCAGGGCATCTCCAAAAAAGAGTTGGTTCCATGCACTCTTAAGTTTTTATAACAGCTCCCTCTTTGCTATAATTACTTATCTGCTGGCGCTGGTCCCCTCCTTACTGGATTGGAAATTTCCTCAAGGACAGGGTTCTTGTTTACTAGTCTCCTGTCCAACAAGAGGCCAAGCGCATAGCAGAAAAGGAGAACATGGAACTCTGGGGTCTGGGACAAGCACTGCTATTGCTGGCTGTTGTCTGTTTATGATGTGCACCTTCTGAACCCTACCTGGGAGGGCACAGGCTGTCCTTTTCCCCTTTGCCAGGTAGTAAAGGGGAGAGGGAAGACTTCTTCCCCCTCTTTCCTTTAGAGGAGAAACCCAGTGCTCAGCTCAGTCTCGAACAACCAATGTGGATCCTTCTCCCTTTGAAATCCATAAAAGTGTGCCCTGCTTGCAAACAAGCCCAATTTACACAATAACTTAGGAAAGTGATCGGTTTTAAGAAAACAGTTCTTCGTTCCTTAAAAAAAATAAAAAGAATAACCTCACCGTTCCTTTAGTTTAGAAAAGAAATCAAGCTTCTCTAAAAATACATAATTGACATTTCTCATCCTCTCCACCCAGAACCATTACAGCCAGCTCCTAGCTGGCCTGCCGTCTGTCTTACTTTCCCCTCCTCTCCCATCCTTCCCACACTTAGTGACTTTCTAAAACACAAATATGACGGGTTGCTTCTGCCTTCTTTGAATGACTTCCTGTCACCACATCCAAATTCCCATCCATGACCCTGTTACTGTCCCGTTCCCCATCTCTTTACCTTTAAACCCTCTTGCCGCAGCAACTGCTCTAAACTTTGGGCTCTTACCCTTCCATCCAAAATAATTTGTCACACCTGTAGTTTATATGCGTGCCAGGTCTGAGCCTTCAACATGCTCAGTCCACCTTAAAAACAAGAGTAAACAAAGGCAGTAAGGAACATGATTTTGATTTTTTTTTAAAAAAAAATTTTAACTGAAAACAGAATAAGACTTGCAGTCAATCTATTAATATAGACACATAGGCTCTCTCCCCAAGGCGCTGGGATTCGGGAACTCAGAATTTCCCACTTTCATGTTCAAGTAAGTGTGTTCAGTGGAAAAGAGCAAG